AGAGATCGACGATCATTGTATTCTTAGACATCCGCGCGGCCTTCGACTCTATCGATAGTACCGCACTATGGAACTGTTTGCTGAGGAATGGAGTACCTGGGAAGTATGTGTCGATCCTCAAAGAGTTGTATCATGATACCTCAGGTCGGGTTAGAGCCTATGGCTAGCTTTCGCCACCCTTCGCCGTCTCCAGTGGAGTTCGACAAGGNTATCCCCATTCCTTTTCAACTTTGTCATAGAGGATGTTCTGCAGAACGCTTTGTCCGGTCTAGCAAACGGTGGGGTTGAACTCCTTCCAGAGAACAGAGTTCTTGTTTTGGAATATGTCGATGACATCGCTTTGCTGGGTGACAACACACAGGCAGTCCAAGGGGCCTTATGTGGTTCGCCACTCCAAGTTCTGGGGCTTAGGTTGCCTATGTCAACCACTGAATAGCAGGTCTTCGTGACTATGGGGTTTACCCCGTCTGCTGTTCATCACACCTAGGTGTGTAATAAAAAAAACAGTCACTGGATAAATAGAGTACCGTTTTTTGCAAGCGGTTACTAGTCTTTCTATTCGAACAGATGTTCGATCATACAGAACCCGCGCAATCGTAAAAACAAGGTGTTATTTCACCCATCTATAAATATTACTGTCGTAGTGACCCAGCCAACTATCGGAATGAATCCCTCTCGTGTCGCTTTAATTTATGGAATCGATTATGGTAGGTTCCTCAATGGAACAGGCTCTTAATGGATGTTAGCAGAAGTTAGCCTAGTTTACAAACCTTATTCTTGCCTCCAGCGGATGGTCGAAAACAGCTGATGAAGGTAATATGGTGGATACGATTTATCCGAACTTTTCGAAAGCATTCTAATGGGTAAATCACCAAATCCTACTGCATAAGATTTACAGCTTGGGTACTTGAGGTTTCAGGCTTGATTAGATTGAAGTACTCCTTCCACAAGGCACACTATCTGCTGGCGTTTCTTAGTGGTTATTCGTCCTTCTCAAAGTTAACGTCGGGCTTCTAAGAGGATGCTTATTCGGTCTCTCACACCAGGGTCGAATCTCATTTTTCCTCAGAAATCAACAACTACCACGTGCCTCGAGGGAAAAGGACACATACATCGTTGTTCGGTCAATCAGCTGTGCCAGAGAGCCGAACACAGCCACAACGCTGTTCGCATGCCTGCCATAAGCGTACATTTGAGGACACAGTTTCTCCCATTCAGTCCCAAAACCAATGATTTCAGTTTGATCTCAAGATAACCTAAGGTTTACAAGGTATATCCACCACCATGTTCAAGGGACCGCACTTCCATACGTATACACAGAAACTACAACCTTTGGGATTATATTCTTTCACCACCAATAAAGTCGAGGGGACAGTTTTGATGCATCAAATACGGTACGATTGCTCCATCGTTTTACGGGATCTTTTCGTTCTCATCCATGATCTCAACGAATTAAATTCTCTCCCTCTTTCTGTGATCTGATTGAACCATTGTCCGTGATTTGCGCAACTCGGAATCTCTTAATCTGATACGGATCTGTCTGATCACCGGCTTGTAATGTTTGTTACTATCTATGGTCCAGCCGCGTGATAATGGCACTCCTCCTGTGCACAGTCGAAGTTCGCTTGAGGTTTTGG